AGTCATCAAGGGCCGCATGACAGGCAGCCAGGGCAGATAAATATTAATTTTCTAAATTTTTTAGAGGCCCCGCGGGCCACATAGAATGGCCTGGCGGGCCACATTTTGCCCACCCCTGGATTACACTGCGATACCCGTCACCTGATAATTGCCTGAAAACACCAGAAAACATGCTGACAAAGGGAACAATTGGAAGCAGGAAGACTCATCTTTCAGGTCTTGGACTCTCTTATTTGAGGTTAATGAAGCCAATAAACAAACGAGCAACACTGGTCCCATCAACTCCCTGCTTAAATATCTCTTCCTCTGCTGGTAGAAAAGAGTCAGCCTTTAAGATGGAGGGCTGTCACTGCCCAGCACCTCTGTTGGCAGCCAGATGAAAGCAGAACCAGATGCAAAAGAAAGCGGTTGGTGTGAAACTGCACTGACATTAGGTTGGGTTCCCAGATGAAAGGGGAATCCCACTCCCACCCACCTCACACCTCCCAAAAAGCTCCTATTGCTCTGCTGTATGGACAGGAGTACTTAGAAATCTCTAACCCTTAACGTGCAGTTGACAAGAAATGGCCGGGATGATTAGAAAGCCACTGGGGGGAAGCCTCATACTGGTTTTTCTGTTGCTCCGTTTTCAGTTTCGTGTACGTCAAAGGCTAGGGCTAGTTAGTTCTCTGTTCCTTCCTCCTTTCCATTGGTCTATTTTTATCTTTGCTTGTATGGGTCTGTCATGGAGATGGTGATGCGAGTGGATGGGAAGGGAGATACTGGTAGTTGTAAAAGTAGGAAGAAGTGACTGCAGAGCCTCTGCAAAGCTGGCCAAGGAACTCAAAGAAAGGGATAGAAACTGCAGAGACTTGTGTTTCTTTTTCTGATGTTTCTTTTCCAATTGACCACCAAGGCTTTCCAGTCCTGCCCTCTGTAGCCACAGAGAACAGCCTGTTTCCATCCCCTTTATAACCAGGCGTCAGGTATTTGATGGCTGCTCTCAAATCCACCCCTCAGTCTTCTCTTCTCCAGACTAAATAGCCCTCCTTCTTTCAGTCTTTCCTCATAAGTAAGTCTGGGTTCCCAAATCCCTAATCATTTTAGTTGCTCTCTGCTGGACTCCAATTTGTCCACATTTTCCTTGAAGCATGGGGCCCAAAACTGGGCACAGTGCTCTAGGCAAGGCCCCACAAGAGCTGAATAGAGTGGGATCATCACTTCCCTTGACTGCAAGCAATGGCCCTGTGAATACAGCCCAGTATGCTCCTGTCTCATATCTAAATTGTCATCCATAATAACCACTGAGTCCTTATGAGCCACGACTCATGGTTGATTCTCAAGGAAGTGGGGCTCGCTTGCTGTGATGCTCATCCAGTACGTACCTGTGTGGTGGTGCACCTTTGGTGCCTGCCACTTTAAAAGGCTGGAGCAGGCTGTGGAGCAGCTGGCAGGTGCAGTGTGACCACCTAACGAGGTGGTCATGTGACCTCAAGAGGGCTCCTGGATTGGTGTATGGGGCTGGGCAGCCTCAATATAAACAGAGTGCAGCTGCAGTTGTTGCAGGGATGGTGCTGGAGTAACATCACCCAGCTGGAGATCTGCTCCTCCCACAACACCTCGAGGTCAGGGTAGGAGCTATGGGGACAGAGGAGGTTCCTGGTCCTGAGGAATGACCTAAAACTACACAATGCTGGGGAGAGTGGTGCGGTGGGGCCATGAATGCCATGTGCCCTTGGAGGCTGGGGGTGGGGGGCACAGCAAGCTCCCACAGGCGGTCACAGCACTGTCGGCAGCAGGGGGGGCATGGCGAGTGCTGACCAGTGGTCAGTGACCATAGATTCATAGATTAAGGGTCGGAAGGGACCTAGTA